GGTTTCGCAGGCGGGGCAGTGATTGGGCGGGGGCCCGCCTCTGGAGGGGTTGTCTCGGATGATTAGGACAGCCAAGTGTGGAGAGTCCCTCAGTGCCTGGCCTCCTTCACCTTCCTAATATGCACTGAATAAGTCCCCCTCCGCTGTGCGTTTGTTGTGGGGCTGGGCGGGAGGTGGGGGGGATTATGTCTGGCCATGGTTTAGGAGTGTTTGTCATCTGCCCCCTCGAGGCCTGCACCGGCTCCTTTGTCTGAGCGTCAGGCGTCGGCACAATGTCAAATCACACAATGTGGCCATGCAATCAGGGCATCTCGGGTGAGGGACTGACAGGATTTCATGTCTGGATTTTACTTTTTTCTATAAATTAAAGGATAAAGAATTTAAACGGGTCATGTACTCTATACACTGTTACAACAGTTTTTTTTGTGTTGTAATTTTGGGTATTTAAGCTCATTGCATCAAAAAAAATCACTTACATACTGATTTTAAACCCATTTAAACAGCTACTGCATTATACACGTCATACATTATGTATTTCTTTATTAAATTCTGTAAATAACGTTCATGATATAGTCTGAGGATATTCTCCGAATTTTAGAAACACATTTTATCTTCAAGTAAACAACAGGTTTTGTAATAAATAGCACAAAAAAAATCTACATCATTTGAGTTTAAATTAGAATTGGAAGAGATGCACTTTTCTAATTTTTGCAAATCTATGATTGTTAGTGTGATATTTTTTCCTAATAGCTAATTTTAACATTTAGGTACTGTGTCTTTAATTTTTTCTCCACAGTCTCACTTTGAATTTAAAAAGATCTTTTAAAATCCTCTCACTACTTCAGAGCCATTTATAAGCATCCAGAAACCAGGTTAATAATGATTTACATTATATTCAATCATTGATAGAAAATATCAAAATCCATTAAAAAAGATAATTGATATTGAACGAATTTTCTTTTAACAGTTAAAAGATTAACAGTTAAAACTCTGGTGTCACACACACAGTCTGTCGGTCAGTGTAGTGCTCTCAAAGGTGTTTCTATGGTTTCACACAGTGCATCTCTGTATGAAACTTGGAAGAACGATTCATTCATGTCACACAATGGCTAACAAAGAGGGCACTGAGCCCCGGCCAAATATCAGAAGTTGCATTGAAAAGAAAAAAAACAAAAAACGCCCTTGCTGTGTACTGTGGAGGAAAAACCTCCCAGCGACTGATAACAGTTCTGCAGGATTTAGGCGCTGTGGGATAAACGGCTTCTGTGGCTTTACATTCAAGTCAGTTGGACGCTTAGAGCACAAGGAAATGACACACATTCCTCCTTCACAGTAACAAAATATACCCCAACCTCACACCCTATTATCTTAGAGTAATTATGTCTAAATTTTAAATTAATCTTATATTAATTAAATTATGGACTTGATTTTGTTGCACTTTGGGGACTTTCTTGATTTACTTTTCTTGATTGATGATTGACTTTCTACTTATAGAAAATAAAAGGCAATTTTATGCACGATTTAGAGTTTTGCCATATCTGGCATTTTTATGGTTTTTGTGTAATATTGAGAAAGGTTTTTGAGAAATTGAAACAAAGTTGGACACATTCACCTTCAAGCTCCAGCGTTAAAGTTTGGGCGTCTGAATCCTGAATCATATTTTGACTCATCTGAACATTTTCAGTCGGACCTCAGTTTCTAAACCAAGTCAGTGTCATTACTACTTCTGTCCTAAACTGTCACAATATACAGTTGATTATAACGTGCACCATCATATGTGGAACCCACCTTCTCTGCACATGAGTAAATACACCAGGTAGATTTGTAAAGACGATGCCCCACAAGCTACTTTGATGTCATTATGCATTGCTCCATCTTATTAGTGGTAGTTTTTCAGTCTCACAAGCTTTTTAATTGACAGAAAACATTTCAAACAATGAAAACATCTGAAGAGCTCTGACATTTCTGCCTTCTCTGCTTGAGTTATGTATTTTTTAGCTTCTAAGTAGTTTCCTCGACATCGCCTTTGCATAAAATACATTTCCACAAAGATTTTTCTGAACAAGCCCTTGTGATATTTTTTCAAGAAATGATAGATAGTCACATTAATTTGGAGCAAAGTCATTTCAATTGTGTGTGTAATTTAGTTTTTCCTGGTTTAGGGTGAGAGTCTCAACCGAGCAACACAAGCATTTGCTTCCTTTGCTGCTTTTCAAATTTTTTAAAGAGAATCCCAGTATTATGCTGTAGATGAGGAACAAAAGTTGTGGCATCAAAGCGGCATGATTTTTGGCGTATATTAAAAAACGCTTCCAAATTTTGTTGCACCACTTCCTTCAACCCTGAGTCCTTCAAAGGTGAGAAACCGAAGGAATGAAATTGAAATTGGCGCCAACCGAAACACAAAAATTCAAACGCTCAATTAGTTTTTCTTCTTTGATCTTTTGTAGACAAGGATGCGCGCCGGAGGTTGGGGTTAATACACCGGCAAATATATCATCATCTATCAAATGGAGTCTGACTTTTTTCTCTAGTGGTACAAGAAAGCAAATCCAGTGCAGATGATCTCTGTATGGGCAGGAAGCCTTGAAGGTTTGCATCACGTCTGCCACATTCTCCCCGAGGGTTTTCTCGCCACCTTACCCGACAGGAACCAACACACACACGCGCGCACGTTCTCTTGCACGCATGCAACCATTCTTCCTCACAGCGCAGCGGGAGTCTGTCTTTATCTGTCCTATTGATTAATGAAGCAGGCGCAGCAGGGTGTCCGAGAGAGGTAGGAGACTAGATCAAGGCTGCGAGCTGCATCACTGGCAGCCACAGTCACAACACACAGTCACACACAAATACACAAACACACGCACATTCAGAGTCACGCTCACACACTCTTTCACTGTCTGTCATGTTCTCTCTGTGTCTGTCACAGCAGACAGCGAGTGCACAGGCAGCCATGACACATGCATACTGAGCGACGTGACACACCCAGCAGCGCGGACACATACATGCCACCATAACTCATACATGTCACCATAACTCACAAACACGTCGTCCCACATGCACACACAAAAACATCCAAAATGAATTAGCATGGCTCGGCTATGCGTGCGCCTAAGCTGGAAAAGCATTTTCTATAAACATAATGTTTGCAGATTAGTTGGGGTTAATGATCCGATTGCCTCGGAGCTGCCACTGTGTGCGTGTGTGTGTGTGTGTGTGTGTTGGCTGAGAGAAAAAGCACTGCTCTACTGTGCTGCCTCCTTCACTTCCAAATGAGACGTGCCCCAGGCTCCATTACAAGAGCAGTATTTATGCTATTAGAGAACTGGGTTTGCCACGCTATCCGTGGTAGCAGAACGAAACGGCTAAAATTATGCCTCCACTAACCTCAGTGGGCAGGTCCAGTATTTTCTCTGCGCAAGTGAGAAATTACAAGTTGTGTACTTTAAGGCTATTTTTACAAATCGCCTGTTGGAATATCACGCACATTACATTTTAGTGTTTGTTCTTTCCGAGCAGAAATAAAAATCCAGAGTCAAAGAGTTTTTTTTTTCTTCATCTTGACTTCGGAGTTTAAAATTAGATCCCTTTAGTCCAAACCAGAAACCGTTCACTGTAAATTCATTTTTTGGAGTCGGTGGGTTCAGTGAGGGTGTTGTCCCTGCTCGCCACAGACACACTCTAAGAGACCCCTCTCATGCGATGATGAATGGACAGAAAAGTGCAGAAATGAAAGAGAGTGTGGGGCTGAAAAAAATGACTTTAAGACCCCAACTCCCTTCCCTTCCCTCCACCTACATATTTCTCTGCTGTCCCTCCCTCCCCATCCTTCGCTCCCTCCCTTCCCTCTCCTCCGGCGTTCCTGTCGAGGCATGCCTCTGTCCCCGCTAACCAGCGTCGTCCGTGGCAGGATGAGGGGGGGAGGAGGTGGAGGAGGGCAAACAAAGGAGCACTGTTGCCACTTCGCCCAGGTTTTTGGGGAGGGTCGACACCAGGCTTGAGGGGTGCGGATAGAGTGGGGGGGTTTGGCACAGACGGGCAGAGAGAGTGTGACGGAGGAGCTTTATCAATAAGAATAGAGATTAAAATGAATGGGAGGGGAGCAGGGGTGTCTCAACTCTTCACAGTAATAAAGAGGACAAGCCGTTCCCGTCATTTTTTTCACATGCACTCAGACACACACACACACACA